AGGGCCCAGGGGAGGACACTTCGGTGAAGTCCATAGTCCTTTATTTTACTTTCCTTCCTTGATCCTGTCAGCTATACCAGCATCTGGACTAAGACTCAGAAGGATGTTGTGAACAGGACCAGTACAGTAATCACAGTAAGCAACTTGTCCCCAGACACTGCTCCCAGGGTACCAGGCCCTAGAACTGGATCTGAGGCAGGGAAGCAGGACTCTAGAGATTCCTCCCACACTAGTTAATCTTTCCATTACTCAACCCACCAGGTCTCTGTCACTGCCACTGAGTATCTTAGAGAAGCATCATCCTGAAGACCAGAGTTACAAAGTGGACAAGGACCAGTCTGGACTCCCTCCAGCTATGCCACTTCTCTGCTCTTTCCTCTGAGGCTGGCTTCCTGCAGCCCTGGCTCATATTCAGAGTGGTGGGCTACTTGTTAGACAAGCTGATTGTGGGAAGCAATAGAGATCGTGTACTTGCTCTGCCCTTACAGCCTGAGCAGGGATGGTGACAGTCATTAGTTAGTTAACGATCCAGCAAATCAGCAGAGGTCTTTGTAAAATGTCACTTGGCCACTGGTGTGGTTGAGTATTGCCTTTTTCATAATCTTTCCTATGCTATGGCTGCTTGTAAATTTTTTAAAAATATATATCTTGCTTGCATCCCCTTCTCCCCTTTATTTGTCTATTTTTAATTTTTATTTTGTTTGCATGTTTGTTTCTCATATAGGATTTCTCTGTGTAGCCCCAACTTGGAACTCGTTTTGTAGACCAGGCTGGTCTATAATTTAGAGGCCTGTGTATCTCTGCCTCTTTAAGCTGGGAATTAAGACATGTACCATCACTGCCTGGTTTAACTTTGCTTGTTATGACACTTATTTTCTGCATGTATTTCTGTGTACCATGTTCATGCTTAGAGGCTGTGGAGGCCACAGAGGATCTCTGGGTAACCTGTGACTGGAGTGAGATTGTTGGGAATGGATGGTTGGTATCCCACTTGAGCTGGAAGAGGGCTCAGCTGTTTAGAGCACTTGCTTGTCTTGCAGGAGACCAGAGTGTGTTCCCATGAACTAGGCTTCCCAGCCCACAGGCTGCACAGCTCCAACCTATGGTTTCTGTTGCCCTCTTTTGGCCCACTCAGGCAGCTATAATACTGGCATGCCAATATGGGGAGAATGTGGGGGACTGAAAAATAAATATATATATATATATATATGCATATATATGCTATATATAAATTAACTTTGACATACATTTGTGAACATGTACATTTCTGGCCTTCAAAAAGCCAGAAAGTCTAAAGAGAATATACAAGTGGGAAAGGTGAGGAGGACATACAGAAATGTAATCATGCTAATAATCTCTTTATCATATCACTGTATTTGGAAAATTTATATCAGGAAACTTCTTTGTACAATCAAGTAGTTACATCTTCAAAGAAGGAAATGTCCCAAAATATGAGTTCTTTACTTGGTAACCATGGATTGATATCCACAGGAACATTATTTCTGTTGAAACCCACACAATTTAAGACAAGTGTAGAGATCCTGACTTCAAAGTGTAGAGATCTGACTCCCTGGACTCTGAGATGGACTCAGAAGGATGATTATGTGAGGACCAGGAGGACAGACATCAGGGTAAAGCAATGTGTGCCCAGGCTCTGCTCCCTGGATATGAGGCCCCAGCAGTGGTTCTTAGGTGGGAAATCAGGACTGCAGAGATGCTGCCCCAGGATGTAGTTCTTCCACTACCCAACCCAACAGGTGGCTGTCACTCTCACTGGACATTTTTAGGGAAGCCATTCTGCCTCACTGAGATCAGGGTTTGGAAATACACAGAATACAATGCACACTCAGACTTGAGCATTATTCATGATGCTGATCTCTTTGTCTCTCTTTCTGCTGGAGGTGGCTTCCTTGGCTGTGGGTGCTCTTCTTCCTCTCCACCCTGCAGCCCTTGCAGTACAGCGAAGAAATCTCTTCTCTTCCAACTCCACACAAAAAGTGACACCAGACACCAGAGGGTGAGTGCAGGGTCCAGAGGGATAAGTTATCTCTGCACAGCTGAACAAGGGTGCAGGGAAGCAGCTTCTCTGCCCTTTCCCAACCAGACCCTCATGCTATACCAGCTGGGCAGGTCCTTGCAGTGAGCTCTCCTGTTCAGTGCACCTACTGGGCACCTGTCCCTTAAAATCCTTCTTACCCTAGACTCACAATCTATATTACCTCTCTATACCCTATTATCCATATTTTGCTTCCCAGAGCCTGGGGTCATTACTCTCAAGTAAGTGAACCACATGTTCTTTGTGGGATTACACAGTAAGATGCAGATAATCTGGATGCAATTTGGGGTACAACCTGTAGAGAAGGTGTAATGTGGAAATCACAGGCAGCAATCCCTGTACCTTCCATCTTAGAGTGTACTTGAGGGCCCTGCTCCACTCTAGCAAACAGAGACAGAATGGTGAGTGACCAAGATCCATCCCCAAGAGCAAAAACACAGCCCAAACACATACTAATCTACCACATCAGTATGTCTGCCAAATCAGACTCCCTTCATCCACAGGGACTGAATGTCAAGCCAGGAAACTTTACAAAAAGAAAGTCCCTAACTGAACAAAACTTGTTCAAAGATGAGACCCTGCAGTCAAGGTCACGCTCTGTGGGTAGATGTCTTCTTCTTGCACAACCACTAGTTTTTCTACAATATACTTGAGAGATTGTCATTTGTTTCTCCTAATGTAGCATGTGAATCCATTATATTTCCTCCCAGCCCTCTGCAGACCACTGCGGCAATGACAGACTCTAAGCTCTCAGGAGAACTTTAAGTTTTGACAGGAGTTGACTCCCTCACCACATTCTTACACACTTAAAATGATCACAAAAGATCTTGGTAAATTTTGTGATAATTTTAACACCTGAGATTTGATAAAATTTATTTAAACATTTAAACACTGATAACTGAGGAACCTGGTCAACAATATATTCATTTCTAAACATAAAATTTAATACTACAAAATGACTACAAAATGCACTCTGCAAACAAGATTCTCCTATGGTCATGGGGCTGCAAACTATGAAACTTTCAAAGATGTTTCATGTTCCAGTACTTAGGTAGCACCTGGTTCAATCTACTGAATTCCAAAGGGTAAAATTCTTCAATTAATCTATTGTGGTGATCCATGCCTCTATCTCAGTACCCAGAGAGGAGGGACATATGGATGTTTGTGATTTCCAGGCCAGCCTCAAAAAACTAAAATGATCTGAACTGGTTAATAAAAAATAGTTCCCCTGTGGCTGGAGAGATGGCTAAACTGTACAGAGGACCAGAATCAGAGTCCCAGAAGTTTGGCAGCTCACAACCTGCTGTGTGTCCTACTCTAGGGTTACTAAGAGCCTCTTTTGGCTTCCACTAACTCTTTCACTCCTAACATTCACACAGACACAAACAAACAAACACAGAAACAAAAGTAAAAATAAATCTTAAAAGTATCTTCTCTGTACATTTTGGGAATTTTTTTCCCACACTGCACATAAAACCACAATGTTAAAAAGGACAAATCAGAATGAAGATACATCTAGTGGGAAAGGTTAGGATGAGAACAGGTAGATGTGTAAGCATCTATTAGTTTCACCAAATCGTTGTATTTTGGAAAACAGTCTTTTGCTTTTGTAATCATTCTGCTTACATGAACTTTATCAATAATGTTTAATAAAACAAATGTTTAAAATTCTCAGTTCCTAATGCAGTGAACATGGATTGACATAACCCACACAAGCATAAATAACTTTGAGGGTCAATCAATTTCTAAGATTCTGTAGACTTCCTGATATCTCAGGGTGAGAATTGCTGGCTCAATGGCCTCTGGTCTGGAATGAGAAGGATATTTTTGCCAGGATGAGGTGGACAATGAACAGGGTAATCAACTTGTCCCCATTCACTACCCCTAGGGACCCAGGTTTCAGAGCTGGGTCTGAGCTGGGAAAGCAGGGCCCTGGAGATTCCCCTTCCAGGAGTTCATCTTTCCATGACCCAATAACAATGCTCTCTCACTACCATTGGGAATTCTTAGAGAAGCCAATCAGCTTTCTCCATATCATGATTATAAACTGAACACAGAGAAGCAGAGACTCGGTGTACAGTATTCAAGCAAAATGAAGTCCTTTGTTCCCGAGGCTCTCCTCCTGCTGATCTTGGGCACCCTTGCCCTGACCAGGAATCCAGAGGGTGAGTGTGAGTGTCAGGTGGGAAGGACCTAACCTGGGAAATAAACGGATTCCAGCTCTGGGGCTGCAGCATAAGAAAGTCTGTCTCACCCCTAGATCAGAGAGAAACTTCTGTCCCTTATTTATTTTACTTCCCTCTCCCCTGTCTCCTGCTCGCATCTTACCTGGGAGGACTGTGGGGAGCAGTGTAGGGTACTATGTGGGAGGTCTAGATATAAAGGCCACTGCACTTAGGTTCACACTCCCTGAGCTATTTGCACACATTCCTCACCACGCCTGACCTCCTGGAGCACCAGTTCATCTGTGCTGCCTACTTGGATGACATTCATATTGAGAGACTCAACACCAGAGGAGAAACTCCAAGGATGGAGCACTGTGCACCTTGGGTGGATCAGCAGAAACCAAAATATTGGAATGAATCGACTGATGATATCCTTGTTCGACTTGGCTTATACAAAGGCCTACTTAAGAGAGTGCTTGACATCTACAATCAAAGTGAGACTGGTGAGTGACCCCTGTACCACTAACCCCAAATTTCATATCCCAATGGATTTATTCCAATTCTCCATATCCAAGGTTTCACCAGTAAAATGAAACCCACGTAGACTAGGCTACAGAGAAACTGGGAACACTGATTTCTTCACAATTTAAGCTTAAACGTGGCCATTGACAAAGGGAAAGTGGGAGGCCCTGAGCCACAGAAGGGCTCCAAGGAACCTGACTGTGTGATAATGGCTGATAGTAGGGGCTTGGGCAGGATATCACACAGTGCAGTTCCGGATGTCCTGTGCCGCACTGGCTGGATCGAGCTACATTCATGGACAATATGAATTTATCTTCAATGGCTATGATTATCTTGCACTAAATGAGGACCTGAGTTCTTGGACTGCAGTGGGCAAGGCAGCTGAGATTCTGCACCAAGAGTGGGAGAAGGCAGGTTATGCAGAATATTGGAAGTATTTCCTGGAGGGCAATTGTTTGAATTCACTCCGCTCACAGCTGAAGTACGGAAAGGAATTTTTGCTGAGAACAGGTAAGGAAGAAATCAGCCTCATCTGTTATGAGACTGCAACCCTGTCCCTTGGGGATTCTTCCTCTGCAGGGAGAAGTTGGAATACTAATTTGGTCTTTCATGAAAGGGGAAGGGTGTCATGGGTTTCCTAATTCAACAAGAGAGAGGGACTCTCCAGAGACAGAAATCTTCTCTCTGGAAGTTTCAGTCTGCCAGTTAAGCAGCAGTTCCCTTCCATTTGCATTTTGAATCTGACCTCAATGAGGCCTGTACACTGTCCATGTACATTTGCATTCTGACCCAGTGTTGCTGAGTTTCAGGCCCCATCATGCAGAACCAAAATCCACATTCCTAGAGGGAGATCCAGAGTCTCCTGCTCCATGCTGGCTTATGCTGGTACTGAAATTTTCCAATGAAGAGAGTACCCCATCCTTATCCTGAGTTTAGGACGCTGTGTGGGTCTACTTCTCTCATTCTAGCGAACTGTCCCTTCCATTCAAAAGAAGGTTACATGAACATTAATGGATCTACAAAGAATTAGACATACCTGAACTTTTCAATTTTATCCCTTCAGGTACCCTGAAATTACACATGACCCATAAGGTCAGAGCTGATGGGAATATCACTCTAAGGTGCTGGGCCCTGAACTTCTACCCTACTGAGATCACCCTGACCTGGCAGAAGGATGGGAGCAACCAGAATCTGGACATGGAGGGGATAGAGACCAGGCCTTCAGGGGATGGGACCTTCCAGAAGTGGGCAGCTGTGGTGGTGCCTCCTGGGGAGGAGCAGAGATACACATGCCATGTGCAGCATGAAGGGCTGCCTGAGCCCCTCACCCTGAGATGGGGTAAGGAGTAGATGTGAGCACAGAGAAATCACAGAGAGTGGGAGTCCTTGGGAGACTGGAGCAGGGTCATGACCGACAGCTGGAGGTCAGAGTCCTCACTGTTTCTTCCATTCTTCCCTCAGAGCCTCCTCAGGCCTCTGTCCCCATCATGCCAATTGTTACTGGCCTGGTTCTTGGAGCTGTGCTAATGGGAGCTGTGGTGACTTTTCTGATATGGAAGAAGAGGAATAAAGGCAAGAAAAGGGCAGGGCAGGATGATGTGGTAGACTTTGGGGAGCCCCTTTTGAGGGCCTTACCCTGCCTGGGGAGTGGAGGGGGGATGGGTAGGGGCAGGTGGGATGTTGGGAGGGAGGGAATGGAGACGGAGTAGGGATTGACATGTGAAGCAAGCTTGTTCCTAATTTGAACTAATAAAAGAATAAAATAAAAAATAATAAAAAAGAAAAGGGCAGGGTCTGAGTTCATGTCTCTGTGGGAATATGAAGCCCAGCTGAGAGTGTGCCCTGCCACATGAGAGCAAAGTTTCATCCACACAGCGGCTTATTCTGTCATGTGCTGAGGAGCTGACATTAACTTCATTGTGAAGCATAAAGGAAACAATGAACAGATTCATCATTGCAATGATAGAGGTGGTAGAGACCTGATCCTCAGCTCCCAGAGGTCAGATGGAAAGGTTCCCACTGAGAACAGATAACCAGGAGTCCAGTTAGTCCTCTTCATGTGCAGTCTTCCATCAGGTTTCCTTATCTTTTGCTAGATCTACCGTCACAGTTCTGGAAATTTCCCTGAGATAAACCTCTGAGATTCCTCTAGGCCTTCTAGATCCTAATGATTCCATGAGATCTAAAAAACGGATGATTCCTGCATAAAATGAAAGGCAGTCATGTTCTGGCTTGCCATTGCCACAATGGGTACTTATCCATAAGACACCCGTGGCAGTACACAAAGGAGGCCATGAAAGTTATCAGCCATCCTATACTTCCTCATTTAGTTACAGTGTCAGCCTGTTAGATCTGCTTTTGTATCACCTTCTACTGGGAGGTCAAGTTTCTAGGATGTCCAGCCTTGTGTTTGAGCTTTAAAAAGTGACCCTAAAGGGCCTGGAGTGAGAGAGACATGGAGGTCAGAGGATAGAATCCTGGGGCATGGGCATTCCTGGGACTGGTACAGTTTGAGTGTGCGATGGACTATTCAGAATGTCACCAATTAAGACACTGAACTGAAAGTATTCATTGTTCTTTTCTTCGACAGGTTAAGACAACTGGACTGAACCTACAGACAGGATTTGTTCAGTTTTCTCTTTTCCCACTATGTCCTCAAGACCTGATGACTTCTCTTCTCTCATCTGACTGTTACTATGTGTCTGTCTCCTGTGAGTACAGTGTAACCAGGTGATGAGTGCAGCCCTGTCCTGAGCAGCAACAAGTCCCATCCACACACTGATCATCATTCCTTCCCCAGTCACCATTGTTGTTCCAACAGAGGCTGGGCGGGCAAACCTCCATCCCTGATAGTTTAGTTTTCACTAAGCTACAACTTAATTCATGTCCCTTGAAATTAAACAATTTCTATGGTTATAAAACTTCTTTCAGAGAGGGTATGTGACTGGTATACTAAAGATGAGTAAAACTTGATGAAGAAAATAAAGTCTCAGACAGAAACTTACGGAGTCCTGTGTACTGTACTAATTCCATTGCCTCCTGGGACAGTTAAAGGATGTCTGGGTCCAACTGGAGCCTGTGCCCGCACAATTGTTGTTCCTTCCACCCTGTGCTCTCACCTGGTCCCTTCCCAACTCTGTCATCTTGTTATCGCCTAATGCATGTTTTTTAGTTAAACCTGTTCTACCAGAACATGTGATCAGAAGTTCTCAGGCATTTGTAGTGTCTCTCCATTGTCTGTGCTGTTCTGTCATGTTAGCAGTCAGCCTCTTCAGTCTCCAGTTTGATGTTTCATCAAGAGATGTTTACATTCCTGGTTCTATATGAATTACATTTTTTTCAGTTCTTTGTTTGAGGCTAATGTCATTGTCTTCTGCTTTCAACATGCACTGACACAACTAGGGAATATTTCTGTCTTTGTCCACCAATGGAAGTCTGTGGTAGTCTCAGCAAATCAATCAAGAGTTCAAGCCTGGTTTCCAACAGAGTAGGGACTATGATTGGACAGTAATACCAGTGAGAGGAGACTATGCCAGCAAAAGAATTATAAGTTCAAGATCAACCCTGGCCTTGGTCTGAGTTCCTTTGTCCAAAAAATGTCATTACTATCTCATTAATAAATGAACTAATAAAAAATGTAACTTGATCAGAGAAGGACAAAGATTTGCTATGCTAATACCAACCCAAAGAACTCTCAACTAAATATTTGAATCTCAGGCAGGAAGTAGATTGATGTAAATAAAAAGTTATGTGGAATATTCGAGTAGCCTAATACCTGATGATAAACTGCTTAAATCACTAGAGGGTTTCATTGAAGTCACAATGAAATCCATAGGATTTAAGGGCATCCAAAAACTTAAAGTGAAACTGGAAACCCTTCCATATGAAGTAAGGGAATCCTATGATAACAACTGTCTTCAGAGAGGGTCACAGCAGAGAGAATAAGAGCAATGGTATAGATGAAATGAATAGTATTCTGTGTAAAACTCAGATAATTGACAGTCTAGACACTTTATACAATGCTTGAGAGACAGAGAATCTTTCAGTTCCAATAGAACATTAATCAAGAGAGAGTGTATTTGTGGCCTGAAAGCACAGTTGAGCATTTTCTCTAGTGTGCTTTTCTGGATCCCAGAGGTAATGCATAGGGCAGATTCTCAAACTCATGTTAAACATTATTGAAAGCAGAGCCCCTAAAGAGGGGAACAGGGGAGGAAAGTCAGTTTCTGATTCATGTGATGGGTTCTTCATCAATGGGTGTCTATGTAACAGACTACCTGCCTCCCTTGGGAGCACATTTCCAAACAATCCCTAGAGTCTTTCAACAACAGGACATGGCACCATCTTCATCCATGAGAGGACGAGTGAGCTCATCTGCCCCTTTCCCTCATTTCTGTACAGGTGTCATGGTGCTTGTTTTCTTCTTGTGTGCAGAGCTTACATATCTTTCTTTTGTTTCTGGCTGATCCATTTCAGCATTCATGCTGACTTGACATCCTGGCCAATATATCTCTTACCAGGGTCCAACCTGGAAGAGAGTCAGGTGCTGGCCTCACAAAGCTCCCCAAACCCACATACCTCAGAAGCAATGTGTCCAGGCCTGGCCTCTGGGAAGCTACTTGGAACACAGGCCTTCAGGCAAGGATGTGACTCCCAAGATGAAGCCTCTGATGCAATAAATGGAGCACATTGGTCCTGAGGACAGGAATGGGAGAAGAGGGTCACCTAGAACCGAGGCCCCGTATCACCCAAAGATCTGAGATCTCAGTTCTTCCAGTAGAACTGGAATGATGTCTCAGACATGATTGCCTCCTAACCACAACCAGAAGGATAAGAATTCCCAAGCCCTGCATGTTTCCACTGAGGAACAAATGTGCAAGTTTTCCCGAAGGTTACCGTTATCTGACCTTATCTTCAAGAGGTGAGGATCTCCTAACTCTCAGTTCCCAAGAGAGTTAGAGTGGATTGATATGAGACATAGGCATAACTACCTTTTAGAGCCAAACAATTTAAAAGTGTGTAAAGACACATTGAGATCAAAATGCTCTGGAATAGTTGACATATTGTCCCCTGTGTTTGGACTCAGAAGAACATTTCAAAAGAGGACAGGACATGGGTCAGTGTAAATCAAGATGTCCCAAGACACTGCCTTGTGGACACCAAGACATATAGCTGGGTCAGAATGCAGAGAAGAGTTGTACACATTTATAGATCCCAAGAGTTAATCATTCCATCATGTGACTAAAAATTTCTCTCTGTCTCTCTGTCTCTCTGTCTCTCTGTCTGTGTCTCTGTCTCTCTCTCCAACTCTCTCTCTCTCTCAGCCTCTCTCTCTCTCTCTCAAATTGGTAATTCTTAGAGAAGCCAATCATCCTAAACCAGATCAGGGTTATAGAGTGAAGAGAGACCAGTACTGACCCAGACTCTACTTATAAAGCAAAAAGCTGTACCCCACACCCTTCAAATGCTACTACTGGATCTATGTCTTTACAACTTAGGAGTGTTGGGCTCCAACTGAAGGCAATGATGTAATTATATCACTAAACCCAAGATAAATGATAAATGGGTGTTTATTGGGGAACAATTACACAGAAAACTACCAGAACTGCCAGAGCGTTTCCCTGATCTCCCTACTGGATCTCCTGACCCAAAAGAAAGAGTGCACAAAGGAAAGCCATGCCTCAGGATTCTCTCTTTCCCCTCAGTCAGCCTGAGCCACACTCAAAGGGATGTGGCCTTTATTTCATGTCCACAGATCAGATGTGTAGAGAGACACTGTAGCCCTGCCTCCTAGGAGCTAGGTACAGGTGTACTTGACTACACCTGCCAGGGCGTGGTCGGGGAGGTTCAGGATCATGAGTGGGGAGTTCTTAAGGGGGCAGCAGACACGTGGGAGGTCCTCTCTCTGGTCTCCCTAGCCTGCTGCCTCTGGACACTCTCTGGCTTGCGTTTGGGTGGTGTTTATCTGAACAAAGTTATTCAGAGACTACAGCTCGACTTCAATTTCGCTATACAGATGCCTAAAATGATATATTTTCTGTGATTTATTAAAGCCACTAGAAATCAAAACAGCAGAGGAGCCCATAGTAGTTAGCCATAGAAGTCAGGCACACACCTTTAATCCCAACAGCCACAGAGCTAGGTGGTGGTGGTACACACTTTTAATCCCAGGACTCAGGATTAAGAGGCAGATGGATCTCTGTTAGTTCACGGCCACACTGAGCTAAATGAAATTGATCCAGTCCTCAAGAGAAGCAGCTCTCACAAGATGATCTCAGCACCGGGGATCACACACCTTTAATTCCAGGACTCATGAGGGGTGTTTGAGACAGGAACAAGGTCTCAGACCTAGCATTCATTCTCAGTCCACACTGAGGGTGGGAAGACACTGAAGTCTCAGGATTCTCCAGCCACACTGAGGAAAGGCAGCAGCTGAGTTTTGGTGGAGCCAGGATCACCTTACAGCTTAAAGCTTGAACCCCAATATCTGTCTCTAGGTCTTTTATTTATTGTGTTACACCAACCTTGAGTTGCATGTGTTGTGTTGAACAAACAGAGAATTTACTATGCAGAGTCAAATGTGTTGTGTTGAACAAACAGAGAATTTACTATGCAGAGTCAAAAAGGACAGTACCACTTACGAGGAGGCAAGTTGTAGGTGACAGGTGATGCACATTAAGAGTATTGGACAGCTCAGGGGACCGTTTTACTGTGGTGCTTATCCTGTCCTCACTGTGATGGTGAGCTGTGTGCTGTGAGAGATTTTTCAGGACATGAAGGATTCCTCCAGCTGGGCTGCAGATCAGGGATTTCTGTAACTTCTCCCAAGAGCAGCACCAGTTGGGACCAAGTGACCAAATAATTGAGCCTCTAGAGGATTTTACCATTGAAACTGTGTCCCCAGTTTCATTTTAGTTTTGTTTATTCCACCCAACCTGGGATTTCTGGGAAGAAGAATCTCAATTGTTAAAAGGCTCCAGCAGATTGCCTGTAGAATCTGTTTGGCATTTTCTTGATTAGTGATTGATGTGGGAGGGCCCAACTCACTGTTCATGCACCAAAGGCTGGGAAGTTTGTCCTGAATTATATAAAACGCAGTCTGAAGAAGACAGTAAGCAGCATTCTTCCAAGGATATTGCTT